GCTGCATAGCTTTAACTCTTGTACTTTCGTTAATTGCGATCGAAAAAAACCGTCGGGCCAAGATAACGGACTTTTGTTGTCCGCGTCTTTTTATCTACGCGTCTCCGGCGCACTCTTATTATTTTCACGCGCGCGCGCACATGCGTCGCGTGGGACATCGTCGACGATGCACGCGAGCGAGCGCCGCAATTAATATAGCTGTGCTCATATATACAGACGCGGGTCCACCGCGTAAGATGAGTGTGATAATGACCCGTGCGTTTTTTTGCTACCTTGAACGGAAGGAACCGCGTAAAAATAATTGAATTATATTTAAATTAAAAACGAATGAACGCGCGTTATAACTTTGCGTTTACTATAAAAATATCACCGAGAAAAGAGAAAAGAGAAGAAGTCGCTCGCGCGTGGCTTTCTTTCCGGTATCAATGAACACGTAACATATCGGAGAAATCATTAGGTGCTATATTCTATTGGAAAGTGTCACAATGCCAATTAGAAAATAATATTGTATAGATTCGAAGACACTTCATACTGCGTAAAATTTATATATTTATTATAAATTTATATTTTTATTAATATTTCGATATCTTTTAAAAATAAAATTGATCTCAAGTAAATTGAAAAATTTGTAAATAAAGCGCGTATCAATAATATTTAAAAATATTTTGTTTATAGTCATATTAAAGATCTCTGATGCAATAAAATATACTTGGCCATTTATTAAAAGGTACGCGGCGCTCTGAAGAAGCTGCGAGAACTCGTTAAGCCTGTTTTCAGGACACTTCAATATTAATTCGCCGATCAACGTCTAACAAAGCAGAGCTCGCTTTTCAGAGGCCGTCACGTCGCTAGATAACTCCGTTAACGCGCGTTCCATTAATATCCACGGGCGGCGATGACCGTTTGAAGGAAATGAAATACTTTGTGTTGGTGCGCAGAAATTAACATGACTCGCTCGCATTCTCTCTACTTTGCAGCACCGTAAATGTCAGTTGATCTAGTCCACGTTTTAATCATCTGATTTGCTCTCCGTTACTTTTTGCTTTAATCCCTCAGTCCGCTCCAGTTCCAACATAGTTCCGATTTAATTAACAGATTAGAGTACGCGCAATTAGTGTCACTTGCGATCTCCGCTCGTAAGTCAAACTTTCTCAATGTATATTTTTTTTAATGCAAACTAGTTTTTTTTTTTTATAAAAAATAATAAAAGACCGATGATATATACAAAATCGGCAGCCAGAGTATATCCTATCGAACACGATCGATTCTGTTATTGCGATTTACAGGATGTCGCGTACGACGTATAACGGGGAACATTTGTTATCGTCAAAATTCGCGTATACAATCGTTATTCGTATTTTGGCAAATATCATTGTGGATTCGGTTCGATAACTGGGCGATTCGTCATTGACTTCTGGCCGATAGTCAAATGAACGAGTTCGTCGTAAATCGACGCGCCGATGCATCGATACGTAAATCATCTGTCGTTGAGATGCACCTTTATCAGAGCTTTTGGACGGTTTCGTTATCGTTGCATATCGCACCAAATCAAATTGGAAAATATTTCCGGAAGGACACAGTCGCGAGTGCAAACGAATGAGCGAGCGAATGAGAGAAACGCTTATCGGATCGTGTTATTTGCCGAGCAAATGGCATACCGATTAACGCTACACGATAATTAATATGAAAAATAAAATGGAAATGATATACAATAAAGCGTTCAGTGTAGCGGCAAATATTCCTGAAAAAATAGCCCCAGGATAATGCTTTATCCGTCCCGTTTTTATGATGCAGTAGTTTGTTATTGCGATTTCCAATGAGGAGATTCAGCACGGTTTTATGCCACGGAGAGAAAAGTTTCCTCTTATTTTTACTTTTACTATTAGTCACGATATTACCAAATTTCTCACGAACACGCCAGAATGCCTTGTTATAGCCCGCTAAAGCGTTGATTACACCTGTGATCGAGGTCACATCAACCGTAAGCGTTACACGCGGTGCTGTTTATACGCTAACAATAAGTTGGCGATCGTCGAAACCAATATGGAATCCTACGTCATCGCGCAAGTGAGCAAACAAAAAGCGGGTAATACAGTGGAGCGTCTGCTATTAATGCCGGCATAATGGTAACTCTTGTTGCCGCCTTGTTGAAAGAAGGTTGATACAGACTAGTTCTCTCTTTCTCTCTCTCCCTCTCTCTCTGTCCTTCTTTCTTTCTCTCCGTCTTCCCTACCCGCCATTACAACGTGGCCGGTTGGCCTTAATGTAATTGTGTTCGGAGGTTCAAGCGATACAGCATAAAATCCTGCGCCATCGTCGTATGTCCACGTAGCCGACGTGTGACGTAAGCATGGCTCGGCCGGCGTGTAAGCTTTATTAACTCGCCTCGAGTACTATGCCCGACACTTAAAATCAATTAGTGGTACGCGTCAATTAGAAAGTCGGTCGCTTCATCCGAGTCCGAGTCGTTCTTCGGGCGACGACCAATCGTTCCGACGCAAAATAATCGTCGAGAACGACGAGATCCACCATGCTAAATGCCGTGATTTCAGAAGAGGCGCTCTATCGTTTTTTATACGACAAAATGCATGATAGCAAAATAAGATTTTACCGAGTTTCCTGTTAAACTTTTGTCGGCAAAGAAAGTTCTATCGTAGAATTTATAAAACGCTGCTTCAAGAAAAGACTCAAGATGAGACTCAATCAAGAGGGAGTGCACGAGAAGGAAACAGGTTCTCGAAAAGATAATATGATCGCGAAGTGTTGACGACATTGCGACGACATGTCAAAGTGATCGATGCTGTCTTGCGTAGAGGTAAAGGGTGGATCTTTATTAGCAACGACTCGAATGATATATTATTATGCATGTAAAACCGGAAGTTCTTTGTGGACTTTACTACATAAAAATACCGTGAGATTGCTTTTTTATATGTAATTCTGTGATCCATTATACAAAAATATAAATCTTAATATATCTAAATATATCTATAATATAAGTCCATTGATACAGAAATAAACTTTATCAAAATATGCATTATAAGGCTATTTTTCATCTCAATAATTATATTTAATTGTTATATGTAATTGTTTTTTATTCCCGTGTAATGTTATTTTTATTTTTGTGTGCTTTTGATGTCACGATTTATCAAAGAAAATCTAATAAACAGCATTGCATAAAAAGTTAATTATTATTTTTTTCATATCACGCATGTTCTGCGATTAATATACAGGGTGCGGCATTTATAGTGACGCGGGCATTTTTTCGGAAACGAAGTGAGATATCAAAAAATGTTTCAGACAAAAGTTGCATGGTTTCGAGGGGGCCACAATGATAAAATATGGATTTGACCTTAAGTGGTCTTTTCAAGGTGAGGTCAATGCGGTCGATGTTTTCTTAAATGGAACTCCCCATTTTTTATTACATATTCTTATAGCTTATCCCAAAAGCTTTCCAAAACACTACAATAAAGTATTTTTTCATTAAGTACTTT